TAAGTAAATTTTTAATTATTAATTATATTGAATACTGATCGCGAGTGAGCGCGGATCGTTGCGACAGCGCAGATTTTACAGAATGCGGCAAACGGACGACCACGAACAGAATATTAAACGCTAAAAGACTTAACACGACACGTAATTTTTTTGAGATTTTTTTTGAGTTTTATTTGACACCACACAGTAAATTAAAGTTTTACACAAATAAAATGAGTACAATTATTTCAGGTACAGAAATAATTCCGAAGCCGAGATTGCGAAAGTCCGAGTGAGAAAGCGGTCGTTTTAATAGCGGTTAGACAAGCGGTTTGACAAAGCGAAGCGGTTTAACGAAAGTACTGCAAGCAGCGAAAAAGTGCGAGACTTGACTGGTCCACGCGCGGTGCCCATTATATAACGAGCGGAATTTTGGGCCCGCTGCGACGTGGACCAATTAATTTAATCTTTTAGCGGTGATCTCATTGCGGCGCGTGTCGTTGATTGTTGATGAGGTCTGATGTCGAATATTATTGACTTGTCATGCGCGCAATCTTTTTAAATCAGCTGATTGGCGATCAGCTGATCGTGACGCATGGGCGCGCATGCTCATGAGCTGCGTAAATTTCACGGTTGACAATAAATGACGGTTGACAATCAACGACGGTTGACAATAATATTGTTCGCGACGATGATGAGCGTTTTTTCCGGTGGCAAAAAAGAGAGATAACTCGAACGTTCGAGTTTTTCTAATAAATAGATATTTCGAGAAGATTCTCGACGCCCGTTAATTTTAAATTTTCGAACATTTAATAGCGAAAATATGCGAATTTCGCTATGCGAATTTTAATCCGGAATGATTATTTTAAATTTTGAACAAATACTATTATTTGTTATAAGATTTAAAGGAAAGTCAGAAAAATACTATTATTAAATTATCGATTCTACAGTGAAATCTTTATGGTAAATAATTATTATATTCGAAAGTATGCGGAAAAGAACCACGTATTCATGGGTGTCACATTATCATGGGTGTGTACATTTATATTATGTATCATTTTTGTGAGTGTTACAAAAATTTGGAAGCCATCACTCAGAATAATGTTAAAAACTTAAATTCTGACTGCTTATTAATAAATAATTTAAAAAAATAAGAAGAATAAATTAAAATCAAACCGTGTAAATAAGTAAAGAAATGTGTTTATATGTAAGGAAGGTCAGATTTTTTCTTATCTTTATTAAGGGGAAGATCGATACAAAAAGATCAAAAAATAGCATTCAATTCTCGAATATACTCTTAAGTTAAAATTGAATATTTAAATCGTAAAATTTATTTGACAAGATTAAACTATATTAAAATTGGATATTAATATTCTATGTCGGTTTTTTCCATTCTTGCGATCGAACGTGATTTATTTAATAATTATTTGAATTTTTATTAAATAAATAAACATAATGAAATATAAAAATGTCACAGACGGTCTCCTAAAATCTGCCAGCCGAATCGGATAACCGCAATTGGGATCAGGGCTCGGGATCAGAGCTCGGGAGAATAATAGTGAAAAAAATGCGATTTGATTGGTGTCAAAATAAAGTAAAATAAAATTTATATACGTCCTTTAATGTGTGTGTGTGTGTGTGTGTGTGTGTGTGTGTGTGTGTGTGTGTGTATGCGTGTACAACTGTACAAGTATGAATAAGTCTGTGTGTGTGAGAATAACATGTGCTTGTGTATTTGAACATGATTTTATAATTGTACGCAGTGTAATTGTACAAGCATGTGCATTAGATATGAGTGTGTATTAGGAGGCGACAATGCTATCGATTGTAAGCATCACAAATATTAAAATGCCGGTGTGATTACAATTGCCAAAAACAATTATAACTAAAGTTTATATTATTTATATTATTTTAGAACTAAAATTATAACTAAAATTTAAAAAAATAATGTCTTTCAAAATCTATAAATGAACAAAGTATTTGAATGTAAAAAAGATAAAGTTCTCTCTCACTTATATTGAAGAGAAAAACTGTATGATGTAAGAAACGATATAAGATTGAATATAGATTTCAAAAAACTTTATTATAAATTTCGGAAGATTTATTATATTTATAAATTAAAATTGAAAATTTTTATCGTATAATTTATACTGTGCAAAGCTAAGCTGCGAATATTGACATTATATTACTTCGACGGTTCTTCACAGTTCCTTGTATTTTCGCGATCGTATATGATTCATTAGGTTATCTAATTTTTTTTAATATTTAATTATAATAAATATAATATAATATTATAATAAATATAAGAATAATAAGATTAAGAACCCAAAAATGTCGATCATAACTATAATAAGAAAAATATAATCCGTCTCTCTCTTTCTTTCTCAGCACATATATATAAATAACGGTGAAAAGGGCAAAAAATTTCATTAAAATAACATTGGAATAAGACCATAAAACTATACATCTAAAGAAAGGAAAAAAGATTGTCCAGAAATTCTTTCCAAAGAATTTGTCATACGTACCTGCTGCCATGGCTTAACTTTTTTGACCAATCAGGATGGAGATGTCTCTCTTGTTCTGATTGGTAAAGCAAATGCTGTAAATCATTTCTAAAGAAAGTTCACCTTTAGTCTAAACCACGTGCAACATTCAACAAAATGTATGCGACGTGCATAGACGTATTACAAGTAGGAGTAAAATTTGTGCACACATATTCGTGTTTAATTATATATATAAGTATATAAACGAAATTAATTAGAAAATAAATAATCGATTACGAGCTGTTGTAAATCATTGAATTTTTTACGATGACTACGGTAACACATTTGCCAGATGAAATAATTGCTACAATATTGGAACATAAGAACATTAGCGTGGAGGATATTGTGCATCTTAAATCCACGTGTAAGAGATTAGAGCGTACAACATTTAGCATCAAATTTTGGGAAAAGAAATTTTTTCAGAGGTATGATTTTAAATATTTTTTAATTTAACACACTCACCCACGTACGCATATACTCATACACAAACACAACATTCATATATATATAACATACTCGTACGTGTGTGTGTGTGCGCGCGCGCGTGTGTGAGTGTATGTGTGTGTGTGTGGCGGTTGGATGTGTAGGCGGATTGACGGAATTTCAAAGAAAATTTTGCCTCTGTTGTGTGAATATTATTATTATTTTTACAGTATGATACGATTATATTTTTTTTTTTTTTTTTTTTTTTTTTTATTGATCGACTATATTATTACAAATGTACGCTTCGAAAATTTTATTTTTTTTTTAATATTATATAATTATATATTTAATATTTTAAATAAAATTTTAACAAGGGGACAGAAGGGGACATTTGATAGTGATACATAGATTTGAGTGAACGTGCGAAGATCATAGTTTAATTTTCTTTCTTGAAAATTCTGCGGAGGCCAGAAAACGCTAAATGACATTGTACTCTCTATTTTTTATTTCATTTTCTTATAGTTCATCTCGAGAACTTTCCAAACACTATAAAATATTTTTTGTCAAGTACTTTTCGAATTATGAGGCTTAAAATAATTTCTTAATTTTATCCATAAAATATATCCCGTAAAACATTCATTTCTCGATTATTTTATCTCAATACTTTTATGCACAAAATAATGAGAGGAATCAAATAGTGCAAAGAAAACATAACTGTTTTAAAAAAAAGTTTGTAATAGTTAATTTCAAATTACATATTTTTTATTAAAAACAATTATTTTCTTTATACATATTTTTTATTAAAAACAATTGTTTTCTTTATACCAATTGATTCCTCACATTATTTTGTGTATAAAAGTATTGAATGAGATCAAAAAATAAATATTTTACGAAATATTTTATGGTTTATATAAAATTAAGAAATTCTTTCAAACTTCATAAAAGTAGCTTCATAAAAGTAGCTTCATAAAAATATTTTATTATATTGTTTTAGAAAGAGCAAAATAAGCTGCTCTCGCGAAATAAACTGCAAGAATATGTAATAAAAATATGGAGTTTCATTTAATAAAACAAAGTTCAATTCTATATGACTTTGGTACGTTCACTCGAGATCAAACCAATATCACCGTCAGATCTCTCCCTCTTCGAACCCTACAACTTTTGTCCAAAATATTTTCTTATCCGACCATTTTCTACCATATTAATCGAGATGCACAATTAAAATAAGACACTCTGTCTATATATAATTAAAAAATATAATATATTTACTTTGAAAAATAAATATTGTCTATAATTTATTGCTGATGTTTGTTGTTTAACATATTTTTGAAAAATATTCTTTTCATTTTAGATTTCCCTTGTGGGAAAGAATATATAACGAAAAAAAACAGCAGAAAATTTTTAACCATTTAGAAGTATGTGTAAAATGTATCGAAGAACTACGGCATTATGTGTCACTAATGTCTTATAATAACTTATCGGATAACGAAGAAATGGAATTGAATAGACTTCTGCGTTTCACAGCTGAACATTCCATAATTTATTATTATGTCTTAAATGAGATAAATAAAATTATTTCTGCACAATTATCAAAGTAAAATTTAATAAACCAAATTGCCGCTAACATTATAAATTAATGTAAATATTACAATTAATAGGTACAATTAATATGTAAATTTTTTTCAGGCACAATTCTGATTTGACAATTAAATACTATTTCAGCCAAATTTATCATTGGTTAAAACAGTGTCGGTTAATATACAAGCAAACCAAATTTATATACATGCCAAAAGAAAAGCTGCTTTTAGAAAAACAAATTACTATTTTTGTACAATATTTTCAACCACATATATCTTACTCAATCATTGACACATCGTTAAATGATATTGTGCAAAAAGTATTATCCTGCCTTCGAATTAAAAATCCTACACATTCAATATTCTCGACGTCTCCTGAGCAATTTACTTTATGGAGAGATAACAATATCAACGATAACTTCTGGAATTCGACAGAAACCGAACAGATTACGTGTATTCTTGAAAACATTATATTTTCTGATTTAAATGTACATCAATTATTGGTAACATTAGGTGTCAAAAAAAAATTTATGATATATGTAAGCTATTTTTTATTATATTAAATTATAACTATTATGTACTGTGCAAACTATGTGTTCTATATCTTATAAATGTTTAATATAATTTTCCTCTAATAAAATTTGATAATATAGTTTGTATATAGCACTCACAAGGAGTATCTATTGTCTCTTATATATCACATCGTAGCTAGAAGACTTGGTTTACATTGTTGTCTGTGTTATAAGTCTGAGGATACTGTAATGGCAATTCTATCGGGACAAATATAGTTAGTAACAATTTAGTTCCAGAACTTTTCAACCTATCTGATGTATATATACTTGTACAAATATTTATTTTTTTAATATTTTCAGTTATAGAGCAAATCATTCGATACAATATTTTTATAGAAAATGGGGACGTTCCTCACTTCTCTCACAGAATACACCTCTAATTGTCAGAGGAATATGTCGCCTTCCACTGGATCCATTACATAACATATTAGTAAGCAATTTTTTATGTATAAGTATTTTTATACTAATTTTAGTAGGAAGTAGTTAATGAAGATAATAATCAATTATAAATCTTATAAATAATATGTTAGTCAATGAATCAATATATTTTATGAGCAATAAATAACATTTTATTTTTTTCATTTTCTTTTCTGTAATTGAAATATTGTTTATACATGTATATCTATCATTTTTCAGCAAATACGAAATCTGGTATGTGATTTCCGTAGATGGGCAAATTGTATCAATCTTTGCACTAATAAATTCCATGAGGAAAGACGTCAAGTATCTTACAAATGGAATATGATGTATATATTGAATTTTTTATTACGCTGCTTAAGCGATATTAAAGATATACATATGGATTATGAATACACATATATTACACGTTCAATAAAGGTAGTGTATAACATGTTATATATGACATACTGTAATATATAGGATCCGGCCGAATAATTTGCATTATACAAACGGGCACAGAGAGTGATTTCTTATGGTAAAATAAAAAAAAGTAGAATAAAATTCTTTCATTTGAGGCTTTTTGTTTTCGTGAAATTTGAGTTTAAATAACTGTACCATTTAAATTCAATTTCCGGTAAGATACGATTGTCCGTGGGACGTATAACACTTGTTCTAATTGTAAACAATGATTTGCAACTTATACTGTATTATTTGCGTGAGCAATTAGTTTCCATTCAATTATCAAAGCAATGAGTTACACGAATAGAGAGTACGTTGACATGATCATGGGAGCTTGTAACGAACATTTTTGTGTTGCCCTTCGTTATTGCAGGGTAAATTTTCCCAACCAGGGAAGTTTATTGTGAAGATATTCATAACTTAGATAATTTAGTTTAACGCATTAACTACGCATTTGAAGAATTGAAATAGCGGCCGGACCCTGTATACATATATATATAGAGAGTGTACCAAAATTCGCGGATGCGAAATGTGGACAGCATGATTGTTCGTATTAAAACAAACAATTTTTTGCTCTGGGAAAATTGCGTCTCAACATTACTTTTTAAATGAGAGCAACTTTAAGTTAACTTATTCTTAAATTAACTTTAAAAGTAAGCGTTTTCGATTACGGTTGAAGCAGAGGCGGCGCGCATATATGTGACATTTGAGCGTGTACGCTATTTTATTATTTTCCACAGATTTCACAAAAATTATGCATGATATCTAAATATCGTTATTTTCAATGCGTATTTAATAAGAAAAGATTTTTTTTAATTTATCGATATCATCGAAGCAATCTGAAAATAAAATAAGTAGATTAGATAACATGCGAATAATTTTGATCCAAAATTATTGTTTCAATTTTCTAAATATTTTTTGGCTCTGAAAAAGAATATTTTAAATCATATGTTAGAAATGCAAACCTCCTATTTACACATATTCGTATTCTACAAATAAAATGGATATATGAATATGCTCTAAAGCATTTAGTCGGCCTTTTTCAGGGCCAACAAATTTTTAAAACGTTTGCATCAAATTATTTACAGGTAATTTAATTTTACTTTCAGTCGTTGCTTCGTGGTATCAATTAGAAAATTTTCTCCTATTAAGTAAGTTATATTGAAAATAGCAATATTTAGATATCATATATAATTTTTGTAAAAGCTTTAGCGAAATAGTAAAATAGTGTACACGTTGAAATGCTACATATGTCGTGCGCGCATCTCCCCTGACTCCAGTGTAACATAAAGCGCTTATTCGTAACTTAAAATTGCTCTCATTTAAAAAGTAATGCTTAGACGCAATTTTACCAGTGAAAAAATTGTTTGTTTTGAAACGAACAATTATTCTGTATATTTCACATCCGCAAATTTTGATACATGTATATATATATATATGTATATATATATATATATATATATATATATATACATATGCCTATATATATATATATATATACATATACATATGCCTATATATATATATATATATATATATATATATATATATATATATATATATAGGCATATGTATAGGCATATGTATATGTATATGCATATGTATATGTATATGTATGTCCTATATGTATATGTACATATATATGAGTTTAGATGTCAATATGCACAACTGTCTATATTATTTAAATAATTACAATAATTACTTTTGAAAACATTTCATAAGAGATATTGATTAAATTTTATTATTATATTATTATACACACATTTGTTATGTACATACAGGATAGATCTAACATCGTCATAAATGAACAATTAGGAATAAGAAAGAAAAAAATTAAATTTACTATTGGTATGATCGTAAGACACTCATCAAGATTGTCTCGGCCTTCGTGTAATGTTGATAATCACAATGGTGTGATAATTGGTTGGCATTACAAATGTAAAGCTACATTTGTACATGAGAATTTGAATACTTTAGTTCCGCAACTGAGCGAATGCTATGAAAATCAGCACATTCTGCATTCATGTAGATATGAAACTTGCGAATCGGACAAGTCGATATTTATCCGTCAACCGCACTATATAATTCTTACGAATAAAAATAAGATATGTTATATACCACAAGGTATATATGAAATATTAGTAGCATTTTCTTTTATAAATTATATATATTTTATATGATTTTTCGTCTCTCTAACACGCGCAATATAATTAAATATATTTCTTTTTATTTTAGGTGAGGTATCAAAACGTTCATCAAAATGGATCAATAATGTAGAGGTAGGACGATATTTTTCTGCATTTGATACGCATTATGTACCAAATGAAAATTTGGCAAGGAATTATCCTACTGATATCGCTGTTATGCACGAAATATTGTCTAATCAGTAGTGTATATAATAATCCAAAAAAAAATTACTTTTTCAAAAATTACTTTTTCAAAAAAAAGAAGTCGAGTCATCTCAGTAGTAAAACATTATTGTATAAAACTATTTTACAAAAAATTATTTTAATAAAAAATTGCTGTATTAAAAAAAATTGTGTAAAATAGTTGTCATAATTATCTACAAAAATTAATGATATATTTAAATAGAAAATTACGTAGAAAATAAAAGAGTGCGATTTTATTTTACGTTTATCAACAGTGAGAAATCATTTGGTGTAAAAAAAACACATAGTTGTTTCAAAGAAAAAATATGTAATTGTTAATTGCAAATTACATATTTTTTCTTAAAAATAACTATGTTTTCTTTACACCAATTGATTCCTCTCATTATTTTGTACATAAAAGTATTAAAGCAAGATAATCGAAAAATGAATATTTTACTAGATATATTACGGTTTATGTTAAATTAAGAAATGATTTCAAGCCTCATAACTCGAAAAGTACTCAATAAAAAAATATTTACACTATAATGAAAGCTCTCGAGATAAGCTACAAGAATATGTAATGAGAAAATGTAGGTTCCATTTAAGAAATTGAAGGTAACCTTCATGTGACTTTCAAATAACTCTTCAAGGTCAAACCAATGGTACCATCTTATGTCCCTCTAGAAACCATACAACTTTTTGTCTAAAACATTTTGTTGTATCTCACCAACATTCCGAGATATTTTCCATTATAGATTAAAATGGTCCACCCTGTATATTAATAATTCAAAATACAATCTCAAAAAACAAAATCGATGTAATAAATATAAAAAATTGAAGTTGTGTGCGGACGTTTCGACTTACTTTTAAGTCATCTTCAGCGCAAATATTGAAACGAAGTTAGAGCATCTATAAAACGGTTCGCAGAGGTAGAAAACGAAAAATCAAAAGCAGAAAAAATATAAACAAATGTTAATCTGAAAGGAGATCAACTCCGAATGCAACGGTTATGCATAGTAAATCGTAGACAGCTTACTAATCTTAGAGGAGATGCAACTCCAGACGCAACGGTTGTTCATGGGTTGTTGTGAACGGCTTCCAATTATTTCAATGAGTGAAACAACTCTCGTTTGGGTTAATTGGCCCAAAGTTGAGTATGGTTCATCAGAGTATCTGTAAGACCGTGTAAAAATAAAAATAAAAGTAAATAAACAATAGGAAAATTATTTAGCAATGTCAGTATTTATAGAGGGTCAAATAATGATTAAAAAATAATAATTGGTTTAAAAAAACAAAAAAACTAGCTGGGAACTAAATAAATAAAGAATAAGAAACAAGCAAGTCAAAAGTATAAAACAATGTTAGTCATTAGCATAAAAATCGAAAAAATATATATGCGGTTCAATAACAATAGATAATTAAAGTAAGAAAATGATAATCGGAAAAATACAAAAAGTAAAAAATAATTTTTATAATAAACCATGTGCGGAATTTAACAATTTATAAGGGCATAAAAATCAATAAAATAAAAAAGATAAAAAAGATAAGAAAGATAAAAAAAAGATTTTAAAAAAAAGGTAAAAATAACTTACATTGCTATGCGGAACAAAGTTGAACATGATTAAACGTTAAAAGAATCATCATGAATCATTTGTTTATATTTTTTCTGCTTTTGATTTTCCGTTTTCTACCTCTGCAAACCGCATTTTATAACCGCAATTTTATAGATGCTCTAACTTCGTTTCAATATTTGCGCTAAAGATGACTTAAAAGTAAGTCGAAACGCCCGCACACAACTTCAATTTTTTATATTTATTACATCGATCTTGTTTTTTGAGATTGTATTTTGAATTAGTAATATATATTTTGACTAATTAACCTACACTATTATTTTGATCTCTAGCTCTATACGCCTAATTGACCACTTTTATTTTTGAATATAATAATTATATAATTATACAATTATATAAAAATTATATATATATAATTTATTAAATTAAATAACTTTAAAGAATAAATTTTAAATAGAACTTTTAAGTAGATGGGGGGAATAGAATTTAAAGATTTTTTACTTACTTTGATGCTAATTTTCTCACATTCATAATTCAAGAAGAGTCTAAAAGTATGTAAGAAAAACCATACTAGCCATAACATGATGACATATATTTTATTGTAATAATTTTTAAATATCATATCAAAAATTCCTTCAATATTTAACGTTATAAAAGCGAAGTAACATCCCATATCCACAGTCATTTGTGTTCCAAATATTAAATCTATTTTGCGGGATATTTTACGTAACTCCGAATGAAGATGTCTGTGCAAACGTCGTATTAGTTTGTCGTACGAAACAGAGTCATAATTAATTAAATTGATATAAATCTTCATACATTACAATCCATATAATATATGGATTTTTCGGAGCTTTTGTATATCTAAATGGATGAAAAAGTACTACGGAATCTTTCAAGTTTTGCTTTGTTCTACGTTTATTATCATTTGTTAATTTCTGGAGATGTTCATTGATTTGATCAAATTTCAATCCTACGTACCTAAAAATTGAAAAGATTAATGAATAATTATCTAATTAGCAAATATAACAAAATGTTCTTGTACATATTTACAAGAATAAACTAACCAAAGCATACTTATTACAGTTAAATCGCCGATAATAGTAATATGAACGCAATAAATCTGCATAAAAACATTAAAAATATCTTGCACAATGTTATCAGTGCGTTTTAAAGAAGTATGTAAACAGATTAGTAATATAACTGTAATAAACCAAAATCCTAAAATGAGCCATATTGTTCTCATATACAATTTATAATCTGTTGTAATTCCTAATTTTTCCAATGTATCGTCCACAACAGTGAGATTCTTTATACAATTTCTAAATGCCTGATATAAAAAGGTAATATGTAGTTAAAGAATTTGTATGTAATGTTTTGAATTGTATGAAAATATTGACAATCTTAATGCCTATCAATTTATTCATTTTATTATCAAAAAATGTAAAATAAAATATATAATATATACATATTATTTTTCTTATTTACCTGATCATATGCTTATTTTTTGTATTTATCATGTTTCAAAAAATAATTGACGTTATAATCGAACATATTATATAGAAAAATCAAAATTTATTAATAATTTATGACATGTTAACATGCTAAATCTTTTATATTTATATAACAGTACTTTTTTATTACATACATATTATAGAAAAAAAATGTAAATTATATTTCATTTTACAATTAATAATTGTAAATATTCAAGTTGCACTCATATTTTTTTATATGTTCTGTCTTCTACCTTGTTATAGTATATCCCAATAATAATTGACAAAAATGCTACAAACATGTTTGTTCCAAACCAAACATGATATAAGATGCCGTAAGCAATTGTACACGGTATTATTATATATATAACGACAAAATTATATAAGGACCACAGTAGCAACATGTACAAAAGACTGATCCAATATCTTAGGACACCTGTAGGAAACTCGATTATTCTTGAACCACACACATAACTGATTATTAACAATGGCGATAAAATTTGTCGAAAGCTCATAATGAAAGTGCGATTCCGAACTATACTTGCTTTGCAAAGAAATGTACTGAAACGTTATAATAGACCTTTGTAATTTCATTCATTATACTTATCCGTAATAGAATAATCGATGTATTGAATTTTACATACTACAAGCTATAAAAACAGAAATTGTTAGATATATTATGTTTTCAAACAAGATATTAAAACATACATTTAACAAGCAAATATTAACGTTGTTTTTGATATATTTATTTTTTATATATTAGAATCTATTTGAAACATTTGCTGTTTGGAGTTTTCAATAATCTACATCGACGTGAAAGTAACAAATTTGGTTGAAATTTTGATAATTAAATACTATTGCTTTGGATAAGGGTCACTCAGCAACATGCCTTGGATAAGGACCCAAATATGTACGAAAGACCGAACCATTGTCTTGGGACACTTTTAGGAAACTCGACTTCTTAAACCATCTTCCACACACATAACTGATTATTAACAATGGTGATAAAATTTTTGAAATGGTCATAACGTAAATGAGAATTCCGAACTACACTTGCTTTGTTAACAATTGCACTGTAATATAATGAGAATCTTAGAATAGCGGATCATCGTAATATCGCTTATCATATATTTATCTATAATGAATGAAATCTATAATGAATCGATGTGCTGAATTTTACATACTGCAAGCTATAAAAATGATTGGACGCATCACATATCTTTAGGCAAAATACTTTTAATATTGATATTGTTTTTGCCAATTTTATTTATTATTTTTCTACTTACATAATTACACAATACTATCACATTTAAAACATCAAATAATAGGATATTATAGTATTTTCATATAATGGCTTTTTAATTAATATCCACCTTAACAAAATAATCATAAAATTATCTGACTGTAAAGGAAAGAAAATAGGAGATAAAAAGAGAATGGGAAAAACAAAACATTAAAAATAATTTTAATAATTAACATATTTTTTTCAATACGATAATGAATAATAATATCACTCAATATACTCAAAGAGATATTGTTTTGTATCTACAATATTATTTATTAACTTATTTAAGTTTTTTAAAATATTAGAATTGATTAAATTGTATAATTGCTTGACATTTATGCTGTGTTATATTTATAATGTCTGTTTACTTACGTGCTTGTACTAATAAAACTAAAACAATTGTAATGAATGAGCTGAATTGAAAGACATTAATTTCCTCTTTATAAACTTTATCATTAGATAATTATGATTCATTAGATAATTATTGATTTATTAGAATATTATGATATTTACATACATTTATACATTACATATATTTATATCTTGAAGAAATTTGTAATCAAATTGGAGAGGTCCAAAGTCAATCTGATATTTGAATCACTTACTATAGAAACTATATGATATCTGCATTAATAGAATATATATTGCATAATTGTAGAAATGATATATTATTCAATTAAAATTTTT